CTACTTGCATGACGGCATCGAGATGAGAGGTACTAGGTCTTGAATACTTCTTGAGGTCGAGTTCCTGGGTCGAGAGCAAGGGAACTCATCACTAATTATTGTTTGTCTATGAGTTTATAGTTAGATGCATGGTAAACAAAGCATGAGTAGTTAATTTGGACACTTACCTATGAAACGAAGTAATACCCCACTTTTCTCTCCATATATTTCTTGCATGCTTTAATTTATTTGCACTTTCTTTACATCAATCATAATACTCTCAATCAACCAAATCTCTACAATCAATCAATCCCTCCATAAACGACATCATCCATCATCGTTGTTTCTTGTTTGTAGTCAAAGTACCCAATTCTTGGAAAAAGTGGATTCGATACTCGATACTTGCCTCTACGCTAATTTTAGGATTGGTTTAGTTGTAAAACTAAGGGAGATAAATTATTTGATATATTTTTAGTAGTGCTAGTAGAGTTAACTTGCTCTTGCAGATTGGGTTTGCTAGCACTACTAAAGGTTTGACGGGAAGGCACTGCTGAAGGAAATCTCGGAAAACCAGATATATCATGGGGCGAGTTAGTCAGTACCTTCCTATAAAATAGATTGTGCCAACCTCTTTGGCGCAATTCCTTCCTAAAGAAAACTTGGATTTCATCATCTTTCAACACTTTTCTAAAGGATTTCTTTGGTAGAACCTTCTTCCCACTTGAAATGTTAACAAATGCCATTGAAATGGGAGAAAAAGAAGTGAAGGGGAGAGAGATTGAAAAAAATTTGAAAAATAGAGTAAACTGGGGAATTTTTGTCGAACTCGCCCAAAGAGTCGGGGTCGCGTGGGGCGAGCTACGTATGAGAAAGATGGTGGTTTTAGTTGGCAATTCAGGATTTTGGCCGAAATTTTTATGGGATTTCGAGTGAGAGAGATAGAAATGGAGGCTAAGGGTTTAGAATGTGGTGGAAGATATGGGTTTTGGTGTAATTTATAAGTGATAGAGAGAAAGGTGAAGGGTTTTGGGTTTTAACTAAAAATTTTCTGAGTAAAGTTTGTCAAAAACCTTTCCTATTCCTACACTTACAACAAATGCATGTATCCACATTAACAAAACAACAACCTTTTGTCTCCCAAGTGTATGTTCCAATGCTCTCTTACTCGTCCATTAAACATATAGGCGTGCAAGTTCATAAAATTTTGTATGTTATCCGATTTTCGAACTCTCTCTAACGAGTGATAACGTAGGACTGTTTTGTTTTTTTTTTAAAAACGAACTTAAACAAACTATAATAAAAACACCAAAACAAATTAAAACCTAGGTTGCCTCCTAGTAGCGCTTAGTTTAATGTCTCAAGCTAGACATAAGGGTGACATGCAAATGAGTAACCTTAAACGTATACCATCAACGCCTAGTCTAGTTTCGTTAAGAGTTGAGCATACTTGTAGGAATTGATGTAAATGAGTAAAAGGGTCTTCTCGCTCATGACCAGAAAACTTAGGCAACATGTTAATGATGCCATAGTGAAGTTTGAAATCAGCTCCATCTTCGAGTGCGGGAAAAACGATGCAATTAGGATGTCCGGTAGATAAGGGAGCAAAAAGATCACGAAGTGGCCTTTCAGGATTAGCCATTTTAAAAGGAGGGATTGAGTTACTACTATCAGAATCTAGTTCAAAAGCACTATTTGCTAAACCTAGAGGACTATTATCAAGATTAAAATCTATCGGACAACTTATTAATAACTAACAGAGTATACCTAATACCAGAACGTAAAAACATAAACTAAAGTGTTGATATCGGGTCTTTTAGTGCGTACCCATTATCAACTTATTATAGAAACTTAAATGAGGACACAAAGCAAACAATTCACACTTCAAATATTGAAAATTAAACCTTTTACGTGAGATTCGAGGTGTTGAGAGTACAAGTACCTTTTCCCTCGAACACTTACAACGAACAAATAATATTCAAAATGGCAAAATACGGAATGTAAATACCTTAAAAGTGTTTGATATACGTACCTTGGCCCAAAAAACTAAAATTCTGAAATTTAAGATTTTTTGGAAATCTGAAAAAATTTTGACCTTTCTGTCCAGGTTGCCTCAGGCGAGTTAACTGAATATGGCAGGTCGCCCCGGGTGAGTTCAACCGACGAATTATAGTTTTTTTGGTGGGTGGTGCTGTGCGGTCCTTGAATGTGTTGATTCTCGTCTGTAAGTACCTTGGATCTTCTTAGAGCGGCAACGGCTCCAATTTGATTTAACGATTTTTGGTTATTACCGTTAAATCAGAAGTGCTAGTAAACCAAGCTGTAGAAACATGTTAATTCCACCGGCACTACTTAAATAATTTTCCTTTATGATTCTAACAACTAAACTAATCCTAAAACTAGTGTAGAGGCAACTCTGCGGGGTATCGAATCCACTTACCCAAGAATTGGGTACTTGGCTACAAACAAGAAACAATGATGAAGGATGATGTCGTTTATGATGGGATTTATGAATTGTAGGAGTTTGATTGATTGAGAGTAATTATAACTAAGATAATGCAAATGCAAGTAAAAGAAAGAAAGCAATATAAAATATAGGTTGTGAATATGGAAAGAAACGCGGGGTATCACTTCATTTCATAGGCAAATATTCAAATTAACTACTCATGCTTGTTTCCCATGCATTCAACTATGACTCCTAGACAAAACAATAATTGGTATTGAGTTCCCTTGTGCTCGACCTAAGAACTCGACCTCAAGAAGTATTCAAAACCTAGTACCTATCATCTCGATGTCGTCATGCAAGTAGTGAATTACAACTCTTTATACTATTTGTTAACTATCTTCTCTCTCTCGATGCCAAAATATGTTAACGGACGTATGAGGCTCGTAAGTCTCTACACATGCAAAAAGATCTCTCTTTTATTTATTATGAAGAAAAGAGCAAAAACTATTCTATGTGATCAATCATAAAATAATTACCTTTCTAGCATGGCAAACATGTAACACTTGTAGTAAATTTTTCTACTTACCAAATTCACTTGTAAAACCCCATGAATCGATTAGCTCATGATGATTGTGGTGATGATGACAATGATTGTAGATGTAAAAGACATAATTAAAAGGCAAAAATTTAAAGACGGAAGATTAAATTACATGAAAAGTAAAAATACGATTGAAAAGTAAAGAACTTGAACTTGAAAAGTAAATAGACTTGTATTATAATCAATGGAACTTCTTCTTCAACATAAAATAAAGTAAAACCTAATATGATACTTCAATTTAAGATCAAACCATAATGAATTTCGTGGCTCTCCTCTCCTTATATAGCTAGGAGTCCTTCTAACCCAAGAACTCCTTGAAAATTGCTAAAAAAGAGTTTGCAATTTATTAAATAACTTTAGGAAGCTTCTGGAGCTGAAATTTGGTGGAGATCTTAGTCAAACCACGTGGAAGAGTCAGCCAAAATCTTAGGTCCAAATTTATTCTAGAAAAATGACTTACAAAAACAATCAATAGAAACTGGGCCTGACAGGTTTTGACGAGTCTTTTTGACCTGGTTCCATGTCTGTCTTCTGCAATCTTTCTTGACAGTCTTGAAGTAGGAAGTGAGAATATTCTAATGCCTATTTGTTCTTCAAATTCCGAGCTCTCTAACCTTTTCGTTTAATTTCATCAAGTTGTCTACTTAAAACTGCTTTTCTGCCGTATGTTGCTTCCTTTTAGCTTTTCTGGGCGAAACACACCTACAAACACATATTTCTAACAATACCAAGCATATCATATCACTTTAGATCATAACTCGGGACAAATATACGTGAGTGAAGGGGATATTTTTACACTTTTGAGCGCTTATCACATTTCACGAACAATAGAGTTAAGAAACAAAATTCAAACTTTTAGACATAAACATACGGAATAATTTTTTGAAGCTTGCAAAAGATTTGAGGAGTTACAAATACAATGTCCACATCATAAAATTCCAATGGAAACGTTAGTTCAATGCTTTTACAATGGTATAAACCCTACGAGTTGTGCTTTAATAGAATAAATGAATGGGGGTCATTTTCTTAGTAAAATCGCAACACAAGCTAATGATTTCTTTATAAGACTTGCGGAAAATTCTCAACATTGGGGAAACTCACCTAATCCTATCACTGGAGTGTATGAAGTTAAACCTACGGCTAAGATAGAACAAGATGGAGAAGTAAAAACTTTAATTCAAACTCTAGCTAAAAAAGTCGGTGCTCTCTTCTTACAAAGTAACCAACCCAACTCCGTCATGAATGTTAACGAAATATGTCAAGTTTGTAATGGAAATGATCATAATGAAGATAATTGCCCACACATTTCTTACGAACAAGAACAAGTTAACGGTATTTGGGATAGTAAATCTAATGCTCCACCTCAAGGTAACTCATACAATCCAACATGGGCTAATCATCCAAACTTTCGATGGGGAAATAAAAAAAACGCTAGACCTTTTAATCAAAACCCATGAAACATTCAAGGAAATAACATGAATGGAAACCCTAATGGATATATGAGGCAAAAAAATAACTTTCAAGGTTATATAGAAATAATAATGAAGTTAATCAACCTCCGGTTCAACATCTAGAAAAAGTCGAGCAAACTAAAACGAATTATGAAACTCTTTTAATGAAGATACTAGAATAACAAACGAATCAAAATAAAATCATTGAAAGACTTGAAAATAAAGTTGTTAAAATAGATGCCGAACAAGAGAAAAGAAACTTTCTGGGACAACCTATTCAAAATCCAAAACCAATTCAAAAAGTTTTTGAAGTTTCAACTAGTACACCTCCTATTCAAAGAGAAGAAGCTAAAACCATAACTACGTTACGTTCGGGAAAGGAATATAATAATAAAGTAGTAATGCCAACCGAAGATAACTTTGTAACCCAATAGAATATCCGATCGTTGACTTTAATAATAATTAAAGTAAAAACTTTAATTCAAACTCTAGAAATGTCACTTCTAGCTAAAGTAACCCAATAGTTGATGTTGAAAATCCAACTAGTAACATCAATACGGATAATGTGTCTACTATTGCTAAAGTTCCCTATATATCCACATAGACTTTTAGATCCCGATAAGGAAGAAAAATTTAATCAAATAAAGGAAATTTTAAAAAATTTACACATTAATATACCTTTTCTCACCGCTCCTAGAAACATGCCTCAACACACAAAATACTTAAAAGAATTATGCACCGTTAAAAGGCGAACTAATATTCCAAAAGAAGCATTTTTCACCGAGCAATTGCCTTCCTTTATCGATCAAAATGGAATAGTAAAATACAAAGATCCGGGAAGACTAGGTGATGGATTTCAAGGTACCGCACTCTTAGATTTGGGAGTTAGTGTGAACTTACTCCCTTATTACTTGTACCAAAAAATTGGGTTAAAAGAAATAAAACCAACTAGGATGTCTCTTCGATTAGCTGAGCGTAGTGTCAAATGCCCGCGAGGAGTTGTGGAAGATGTTTTGGTTAAGTTTGAAGATTTCTACTATCTGATTTGCCGATTTTTGGTTATTACCGTCAAATCAAGAATGCTAGTAAACCCAGCTGCAGAACATGTTATTACTACTGGCACTGCTAGAAATAAATTCCCTTTATTTTGACAACTAAATTAATCCTAAAACTAGTGTATCGAATCCACTCACGGAAGAATTGGGTACTTAGCTACAAACAGGAAACGTGATGAATGATGTCGTTTATGAAGGGATTGATGAATAATAATTAGATGTAGGAATTTGATTGATTGAGAGTAATTATGACTAAGGTAATGTAAAAGCAAGTAAAGTAAATCAAGCAATATAAAATAGGGATTGTCAATATGGAAAAAAGGCGGGGTATTACTTCGTTTCATAGGCAAATATCTAAATTAACTACTCATGTTTGTTTCCCATGCATCCAACTATAACTCATAGACAAAGCGATAATTGGTGTTGAGATCCCTTGCTCTTGACCCAGGAACTCGACCTCAAGAAGTATTCAAGACCAAGTACCTTTTATCTCGATGCCGTCATGCAAGTAGTGAATTACAACTCTGTATACTATTTGTTAACTATCTTCTCTCTCTCGATGCCAAAATATGTTAACGGGCGTATGAGGCTCGAAAGTCTCTACACATGCAAAAAGATCTCTCTTTTATTTATTATGAAGAACAAAGAGCAAACACTATTCTACAAGATCAATCATAAAATAATTACCTTTCTAGCATGGCGAACATGTAACACTTGTAGTAAATTTTTCTACTTACCGAATCAACTTGTAAAACCCCATGAATCGATTAGCTCATGATGATTGTGGTGATGATGACAATGATTATAGATGTAAAAGACATAATTAAAAGGCAAAAATTTAAAGACGGAAGACGAAATTACATGAAAAGTTAAAATACGATTGAAAAGTAAAGAACTTGAACTTGAAGAGTAAATAGACTTGTATTATAATCAATGGAACTTTTTCTTCATCATAAAATAAAGTAAAACCTAATATGATACTTCAATTTAAGATCAAAGCATAATGAATTTCGTGGCTCTCCTCTCCTTATATAGGGAGGAGTCCTTCTAACCCTAGAACTCTTTGAAAATTGCTAGAAAAGGGTTTGCAATTTATTAAATAACTTGTAGGAAGCTTCTGGAGTTGGGTCTGACAGGTTTTGACGAGTCTTTTTGACCTGATTCCATCTCTATCTGCTGCAATCTTTATTGACAGTCTTGAATTAGGAAGTGAGAGCTTTCCAATGCCTATTTGTGCTTCGAAATCTGAGCTCTCTACCCCTTTCGTTTAACTGCGTCAAGTTGGCTACTTGAAACTGCCTTTTTACCTCATTTTGCTTCCTTTTAGCTTTTCCGGGCGAAATGCACCTACAAATACCAAGCATATCATATCACTTTGTATCATAACTTGGGACAAATATACATGAGTTAAGGGGATATATTTACACTTTTGAGCACTTATCACTATCCCGTTGATTTTGTAATCTTAGATACTCAACCCTCTATCGATATGCTTCTACTCCAATTATATTATAAAGACCTTTCTTAGCTAAGGCTAATGCCTTAATAAATTGTAGAAATGGATCTATGCTCTTAACTTTTGGAAATCTAAGGATAGAAGAAAACATTTTTAAGATGTTACAACAACCTCTAGATACATCTTAATTGGAAGAAGTTTATAATATACAAGATAAAAATTTGGAATTTATCGACGAGGATGAACTTAAAAAATTTAATGAATATTCGGAATCTATTCATCTTAATAATAATGTTGAAAACATATCTTATATCTAAAATGAAGAAATTAATAATTCTCTAGAAATTTGTGAAGTAGAAACCGAGCCAAGTGAAACTTTAATTCCCACGCCACCAAGTCTAGAACTAAAAACCTTACCTTCGAAACTTAAATATATACACTTACACGAAAATGGTGAATATCTTATTATAATATCATCTAGCCAATCACCCGAGCAAGAGATCAAATTAATCGATGTTATTCAAAAACATCGCTCGGCAATTGGGTGGTCCCTAGATGATATAAAAGGTATTGACCCCGAGGTTTGCTCTCATCACATATACTTGGAAGATAACGCTAAAACTTCGAGAGAACCTCAAAGACGTCTAAATCCCATAATGGCTTAGTCCAAATCATGTGGTTCCCAAAAAAGTCGGTTTCACCGCTTTAAAAGATGAGGAGAATAAATTAATAACAACAAGAGCACCAACTAAATAGAGAGTTTGTATCGACTATAAGCGTCTAAATCTTATCAATAGAAAAGATCACTTTCCTTTACGTTTTATGGATCAAATGTTAGAAAGATTGGCCGAACATTCCTTTTAATGTTATTTAGATGGTTATTCGGGTTATAATAAAATTCCTACAGCTCATGAAGACCAAGAAAAAACAACCTTCAACTGCCCTTTCGGAACATTTGCGTATAAGAGAATGCCTTTTGGATTATGTAATGCACCTGCGACCTTTCAAAGGTGTATGTTACACATCTTTAGTGACATTGTCGAAAGATTTATGGAAGTGTTTATGGATGATTTTTCTAATTATGGAGAGTCATTTGACCAATGTCTATCTAAACATGAAAAAGTTTTCTTTCGATGCGAAGAAAAGAATTTAGTCTTAAATTGGGAAAAATGTCATTTTATGGTTACTAAAGGAATAGTCCTTGGACATGTTATCACACCAAAAGGAATTGAAGTTGATGAAGCTAAGTTATCCGCTATATCCTCCTTTCCTTTCTAAAATTATGAGAGACATTAGAGCTTTTCTTGGTGATGCCGGTTTTTATCGTAGGTTTATTAAGGATTTTTCCAAAATAGCCCGCCCGCTCACTAATCTCTTAACGAAAGATACACCTTTTGAATTCAACGAGGAATGTGTGTTATCCTTTGAGCAATTAAAAACCTCTTTGACCTCCGCTCCCATTATCCAACCTCTGGATTAGTCTCTTCCGTTTGAATTAATGTGTGATGCTTCGGATTATGCCGTTGGTGCCTTTTTAGGACAAAGGAAAAACAATGTGCCTAGTGTAATTTATTATGCTAGTTAAACGTAAAATGATGCTCAACGTAATTATACAACAACCGAGAAAAAATGTTTGCCCTTGTTTTTGTCTTAGAAAAATTTAGACAATATTTAATAGGTTCCCAAACAACTATATTCACGGATCATGCCGCTTTTAAATATCTCCTATCGAAAAAGGAAGCTAAACAAAGTTAACACTTAATGAACTAGATGAAATTCGTAGTGACGGTTATGATCTTGCAAAAGACTACAAAGTTAAAACTAAAATAATACATGAAGCAAAAATTTTAAGAAAAGAATTTCATGTAGGTCAAAGAGTGTTATTATAAAGAAGCCGTCTACATTTACACTTGGGTAAGCTTAAGACACAGTGGGCCAGACCTTTTATAATTACAAAAATCTTACAATGTGGCGC